CTCTTCACTCTGAAAGCTTGGGGTGCGAGGGCTTGGGGTTTTGGGGCTCAAGGTTTGTCTGCTTTCAGTGTACAAAAAGTTGAGGCTGTGAGGGTTTGAAGTTTTTTCTTGTTCAATCTTTGGGCTTTTGGGCCTTGGGGCTTGGTGGGTTTCTAGAAAATTTAGGGCCCAAGGTTAATATAGAACTCTTAATAATTAGAATAGGGTTTCAGGGTATAGTATACTCTACTTCTTTCCAGGAACCACAAAACTAGTACTGGTAGTTATTTAAGCCCCTATATTACCCTTGAGCGCAGGACAGTTGTTTCAACACTCTTGCTACCAATCATCTAACCCTAAACTCTATATACCCTTTTAGCTAAATTTTCAAACCCCTCCCAAGCCAGATCCCAGATCCGATCAGAGAGGCCTGGGCAAAGTAATGCAACCATGACGGCCGTCATCGCAGGTAAGAGCATACAAAGGTTCCCCGTAGACTCCTGAACTAAGATATCGACCCGCATAGGAATCGACAATACCACAAGCCTGCAGTTGTCATCTGGGAGTCCTTCCAAAGCAGCCCGAAAGACCATCTATTGATGAGGATATGACACTGAGGGTTGCGAGGATCCCCCTTGAACGAGGCCCTTTCTTCCTCAAACTGAAAATCACACACATCTGTAATAACATTCTCTGTTAGGCCGTGTATACTTTATGTTTATACAGTAGGAAACCCAACCACCTTGTTTTGATTGTCTAGGGCTCCCCTCCATTCCCTTTGGTTTTGAGGAGGGATTCTGGGCTTTTGCGTTCTAGGCCCGCTTAGAGAACCTGTTCTTTGCCGAATCACCTCGTCGGCTGCTGATTTCAACTGAACTACCACTACCATTCGCCTACGGGTCCATGTACCCAAATGGTATATACTTTGGCCTTAATGTAGTCCCTATACAGGTACTTTAGGGCCAATGTTCTACTATTTGGGTACACGGACCCTTAGAGACTACTCTTGGCACTAGCACAGCACTAACTGCACAAGCACTGCGACCACCTCTGTCGCTACCACTACACACCCAAGCATCCCCTACTGCATCTCCGACCGCACCCCCCTACCACACTCCGCCTCGCTGTGTTGTCCGTCAGTTGCTGATTTCCAGTACCACAACCATTACCACTACCACTACCACTTGCCGCTATAACACCATTACTGCCCCTACCCCCGGTCCCCGACACCCACACACACACATACATATATATATATATATATATGTATGTACATATGTATATATATATATATATATATATATATATATATATATCGCATATAATGCATCCTAAGCCTGACTTTCACAGGGCCCCCGGCCCTGGATCTGCCTGCGCAGGCCGGAGCCAATCCTCGGGCGGCGGAACTTTGCAGGGGACTTTGTTTTCAGGGTTTGAGTTAGGGTTGAGGGTTTAGGGTTTCGGGTTTAAGGTTGTGTGGGACATTGTTTCCAGGGTTTGAGTTAGGGTTGAGGGCTTAGGGTTTCGGGTTTCAGGTTGGGTTCGTGTGTCGGAGATGGGGCCTGTGGGGTTTAGCTGTTTGGGCATAGGGTTGTTTTTAGGGTTTAGGAGTTGGGCTGTGCGCAGGGTGAAACGTTGTCTGATATGCTTTCGTATAGTCAGGCTTTAAGCTTTGCTGGAGCTGCTGCCTTTGTGTGTGTGTGTGTGCATGTGTACACGTAGTACGTATCCATATGTGCATATAGATATATATATATATATACATGTGTGTAAATTTAGTTCATTCTTATAATAGGAGACAAAAAACTTTAAGAATCATTAGATGCATTGCTTGGCTGTGGCCAAGTCCCAACCCCTGGGGGCCTTCATGATTAGACTGGGCGCTTGGGGTATGAACGCCGGATCTGACATAGCCAACTTATCAAGCTGGCCTCTAGAAACCGTATCTTTGAAGCCCCCGGTGCGGTCCTCCAGGCATGTTCGCCCGAGGCTGTCTTACTAATTCGATTGAACAAGAAAACCTGACAATTAGAGACTAACGCCTCAACCCCGAAACCCCATACTCCAAACCCCAACCTCAAAACCCTAAATCCCCAAACCCAACAATCCTCTATGACAGGCAGAACTATCCGCTCATTCTGTGCTAGATAGCCCAGGCCTGGCTCAAAGCTGTTAGGCTTCAGCTGGGGATTCCAAGAAAACATCTCGCTAAGAGATCTCCTTGTTGGTAAAATACGCGGCACCAAGTTTTAAAGGGCTAACCTTAGGGTGTTTATTGGGATCAGGATGAAATGTTGACCTTTTCCTTAGGGTGTTTACCAAGATCATCATGCTAACAGGTTGAAGCGTACCCACTGGACGACCAAGTTTCCACAGCCTACATTCCGGAATCAGGCCCTGTACCTTAAACAAGTGCACCACACCCTGTTCAAACCTGGGCTATGCAGATGCCCAAAACCCCAAACCCTGACAAACTCTGGGATCTGATCTTATCAGCACCCTGAATGGTTCCTCGGAGGCCTGCAGATCGGCTTTAATATGCAGGGTGCTGCGAAAATCACGGGCCTTAATATCGACCCTATGTAGTAGGATCCCTGATCTCCAGGATCTCTGTATCATTCGCACGTAATTTCTAAGCAGCCCACACATAAGATCTGACAAGCCTCTGTACATACATAGCGCCATCACCACCAGCTTCTCCCTCCACCACCTAAGCAGAGGATGGTTCAGGTTTGGCTTGGGGCGATCACCCTCAATGCCCACAGGCACCCGCACTGTGATTCGGCTTGTCGGGAGACTGTTGCTCTTCAGGAGAGAGACTGTTGCTCTTCAGGGGAGAACGGTCAGATTGAAATTGGGATCTTAGAAGGGCACGATGAAGTCTACTGTAGGGTTTCGGATTCCAGGGCGGGACAGAGGTTAATAGTACTACGATTTCCTTATATGGTGCCCAACATACGGATGAATTATGATTTAGGGGGACCCCCCTAAGGGGGTATGGCAAATGGAGTTTGATAGCAAGGGTTTTTGCTGATGGTTGGTTTTTTGTCCTCGG